TGTCTATGGTGGTTTGGTTAGTGATGATACCATGTCTATGGTGGTTTGGTTAGTGATGGTACCATGTCTATGGTGGTTTGGTAAGTGATGGTACTATGTCTATGGTGGTTTGGTTAGTGATGGTACCATGTATGTGGTGGTATAGTTAGTGATGGTACCTTGTCTACAGTGGTATGGTTAGTGATGGTATCCTGTCCAAGGTATTTTGGTTACTGATAGTATCCTGTTGATTGCGTTGGACTTGATTCATTATTTCTTTCATTGATAGGTGGTTTTGTCACAAGCAGAGGAAGCCGGGGGTCTTCATTARTCTGGAGCTACAGCAGCGGGAAGTACGATAAGTTAGTCTTTTATTCTGATAGAAATTTGACAGTATTTGGTGTTTGTTTGTCTGATACTTTTGCTTCCGGTAGTGACGTTTCTTGTTCATTTGAATCAAGGATTCGTAAGGAAGGCAGCAGTACAATACTTGGTTCTCGCAGTGCAAAAGTGTATTGTGAAAAGGATAATAAATACGTAAACTGCCCATCATTTGCTAGCCCCTATTTAATGATAGCAGGTACTCGTTATATTATCGAGGTTCGTATGGATAGTACAGAAAATTTTCGAAAAGTCACCAATGGTGTATCTTCAAGAAAAATTTATTTACGAGATGGTTCCCTGTCTGTTACCTATAACTATGAAACTGTGGATGCTGCTGAACTCGCAGACTCAAACGGTTCCACTCAGTCAGAGGGGGGGATTACTGGGCTTTTAACTCAAATTGCACATGGCTAGGTTAAACTAGGCCATGAAGTGTGTAATTTTTCACAAAAAAAGTTTTCAACTAAATCTTTAAAACAAATAAAACACTTTAATGCTACAACACTTGCAGATAAAAATTTAAAAATAAATCCAGTTTTTTTCAAAACATCAATTTGTTATGCATGCTGACATATTTCCATAGAAAATAATGCAATACAGTTGATTTTCAACTAAATATTTTCTCATAAATAACCAAATATTGTTAAAAACAATCTTGTGTCATAATTTTAATTTTATGCTTAATTCATTTTTTTWAAATGTGCATGTCTTGACTTTTAATAAAATATGTCCTTATCTGGAGTCATAAGGCTCTTAAATATCACCATTTTCATTTAATAAATGTACCGGTATTTTGACATTAAATCTTTTTTGCATCATTAAATACAAGTTTACTAAACAATACAATACAATACAATACAATACAATACAATTTTATTCAATTTTTATTTGCTCATACAATAAACCATTCCCTTTAAGGTTTAATTACTTGTTGACAAAAGCGTGATGGATAGGCTTGCTCTATATACCGGTGTATACAGCCTGTTATATGTACCTGTAGTCTTGGCGCATGGACAGTATAGACTTGTAGGAGATGCAGAAAGCCTCAACATCCTTTCTCCATTATTTTGTATTTATTCTATGTTGCAGACCGATAATAATAATAAATGGGGAAACAGAATGTCAAGGACCTTATGCAACCCCAATAGGCACTCTATATACTGTATGGCTTCACATTAATTCATATTTGTAGAAAAAAAAGTTGCTTTTATAAAACCACTAATTACCTAATTGCTAATCATATCATTGAAACTTGGAACAATTTTGGTCACAGACTATGTTTTCATTTGTTAGTATTTCAGCTGTGAGATATGTTGGAGAAACTTCACTGATAGAAAATCCAAAAATGGCCATGTTGAAGGGTCAATATAAATATACACAGTCATTTAAAAAAAAATTGTCCTCAACTGGCTGAAGCCTATGCACCTGGCCTGAAAGGGACGATAGGTAGAAATCACTAAAGTGGTTAAATATTTGCTCTGAATTAATAGTTCCTGCTTACTAATGAGGTAATAATGGCAACCCAAATCCATTTAATGTATGTCTTTTTACGGGGGAAAAGAAATTAAATGTCAAATAATACGGGTTTTATAATTCTGGTAAAGAAGTTCCCAATTTTGAAAATACCAAGGCATTTAATAAAAGACTATTTTCTTGGACACTGCCTGCTTACCAGCAAAGATCTGTCTGTAAACCTGGGGTATATTTAATGTGCAGTCAACAGCTTCTGTGATTTATAACCATAGTTCCTTTCCATCCAGTAGTGTAGGCTTTAGCTGGTCAACGACTATATATTATTTGAATTGACTATATACTACCAAGCATCTGTGGGAGATGGGGGAGGGCCTTAGATGAAGGAAATACCCTTGTGAGAATTTCCCCACAGAAAAAGTCATGTTAAGTACAAGCATTTCATTTGCTTACTCTATACATACACTCTTTAGCATCAGTTGGGGCCAAGTGAAATGTCTCAGATGAAAGAAGCACTCTTTAAGGCCTTTCTTTATGTCTACACATACTTTCTATCCAGCATTAGGTGGGAATGAGAGAAATATAAGCTATCTCAGATGAAGAAAACACCCTCATTGGCATCCCCCAGAAAAAGGTACCAGTGTTAACGTAAACATAAGACCCTCTCTCATGTCTATGCAGTCCTGAAAAGTATGGCTGTAAGATGTAATGATACAGATGAATAGGTATTATTTGTCCACTGTGCGTATGTCCACAGAGAACTAGGCCAATATTTGGGTAGGCTTGAAGGGCTTTTTTGGCCACTTTTGGTTGGTGAGCAAGAAGAATTGTGGCAGTGTGTGGCTTGAGTCCTGCTAAAGCTTTATCAAGCTGTACTCCATGCTCTCCATATCTGTAAAATATGACAGAATACCAATTAGCATTAGAATACCAACCTTGCTTTCGTGTCTAAGTCTGCAATATTTTTTAATGCACTCGCACATCTTGGAAATTGTCTTTCAATATTTGTGCTAGTGAATACTATAAGAACAATTGGAAGGGTTTGTAATTTTAAATATTGTCAATGCCATGAAACAATTTCTGCCTCACAAGTTAAAGTGCAATTTAGCATGTAACTTTTTACAGTTAAGAAAAACTAGTGGGAAAGATTAACAACAAACTAACTGAGTCCCCATAGGAGAGGGGTGAGTGCACTGCCACTACACCACTCTGGAATCACATTGTATCGAAATTAATGTAGATGCCTCTGGCCTTCAAGAGTCACATGTCAATTGCATTGTTTTATTTATCACCATTGCTTGTTATTTTGTCCCATCAAAGCCTTTGATGGGACAAAATAACAAGGAAATTCTTTGTTTTATTTATCACCATTAATAATAATAATAATAATAATATTTAATGAGGATACTCCACTCATAAAAATGATTTTCAGGGAGGTCCTAAAAAAAATTTWAAATATAAGTGAAAATAATTGACCGAATCGAGAACTCGGCCGCGAGCGCGCCGATATGTGGCCCAAGGCGTGGAAAAAYGACCCGGCGCGACCTGGCGTGATTCACGAATTAGGAATCACGCCAGATCGCTCCGCCAACAACCCAAGCCCCACACCAGCGCACGCGACCACAACGCCGCGGACTCGGTCGAAAATTCCAAAAACCATCATAAATTCGTGATATGATCATGAAAAAATCTTAAAAAGCTTCTTTTTGAAAACCTTCAGACTGTCAATATTTCTCACTTCTAAATTTAAAGAGTTCCAGTCTTTAGAACAATGAGGAACTGTTCTAAACAAACCCCAGTTGGTCCTAACACCTTCAAAACTAAGATTGTCCTTRTATCTTGTGTTATAAGAATGGATTTGTGATAATGAATAAAAGCCAAAGTCATGGTTAATTAAGTGATTTAAACATTTATAAACATTGCTTGTTATTTTATCCCATTAAAGCCTTTGATGGGACAAAATAACAAGGAAATTCTTTGTTTGATTTATCACCATTGCTTGTTATTTTATTCCATTAAAGCCTTTGATGGGACAAAATAACAAGGAAATTCATTGTTTTATTTATCACCATTGCTTGTTATTTTATCCCATTAAAGCCTTTGATGGNACAAGGAAATTCATTGTTTTATTTATCACCATTGCTTGTTATTTTATCCCATTAAAGCCTTTGATGGGACAAAATAACAAGGAAATTCATTGTTTGATTTATCACCATTGCTTGTTATTTTATTCCATTAAAGCCTTTGATGGGACAAAATAACAAGGAAATTCTTTGTTTTATTTATCACCATTGCTTGTTATTTTATTCCATTAAAGCCTTTGATGGGACAAAATAACAAGGAAATTGTGTATACAGTAAATACTATGTACTTATTGACTGAGTTAGGTCGGGCCGTACGGGAAAATATTTGGCTCGAGGTCATGTCGTACGGACCGAGCGCAGCGAGGTCCGTACAAATGACCAAGAGCCAAATATTTTCCCGTACGGCCCGACCTAACTCAGTCAATAAGCATTTTATCATATGAGACTCACGAAAATAAAAATAATTAAGAAAAAGAAAGCGCGCGGATTTGAGCAGGGCCGGACGGGTTTTTCCGGCCCGCTTACGTCAACCCGTCCGGCCCCCATCACGTGACTTTTTCCAATGGTTTTATTAGAGCGCGTGAGCAGGGCCGTACGGGTCATATGATAAATGCTGTTACTAATTACCTGAATATGCCTCCGTCATAATCGTCTACACCTGCTATACACAGCATTGCAGTAGGATTTTTAGGGTGCTGAATGGTAATATGTGAGTTATGGAGTACATGAACTCCTAGAAATTCCAGCTCTTTGATCCAGGCATCCACATCGCCAGTGTAATATTCATGATTCCCTGGGAAAATGCAATGTTAAAGAAATAAAAAACTCAATAAAGAGCTAAAAATCACATATACTGGTAGACAAAAGACCATTCTAATAATATTAAAGAAAAGAGTTAAAAAGAACCTTTATTGACCTGAAATTAACATTTGAGAAAATAGAGAAAAATAGAGAAAAATATGATTTTTGAGGAAATGTCAGGTCAGAAAGAGGAGATTAAAAGAGATACACCAAATCTAAGACTGTTATAGCAGTCCCTATGACAGTAGCAGGGCCATTAATTTCTCGATGGGCTTCATGAGTGAGTGTTGTTAGGATCATATAATATAATCTCATGTACATACCAGTCACATAATAGAGTCCATACTTAGCTTTAAGCCTTAGCAGTGGCTTGACAGCCTGTCGTATTTGATATACAGTAGCATCCACCAAATCTCCAGTCACAACAATAACATCTGGTTTCAGCTCATTACAAGTCTTGACTATTTCTTCTAACTTTGTTTTACCAACTGTAATACCAACATGTAAATCGGATAGTTGAAGTATAGTAAAACCCTTGAATTCCATCGGTAAATTCTTAATGGGAATACTTAGTCGATTGATTGTAGGCGATCTAGAGGCATTTTGAAGGCCATACAGCGTCAAGGAGGCGGAAATAGCTAGTATTAGCAATATTTTAAAACGGGTCTTCGAYGATCGATGTAGATGACTTGCGATCGGGACTCGTAGACACGACAAGATCCACCATAACAAATCAACAAGAAAGATAGTCGATGCCATTAGTAATGTGATCCCAAGACATGTGTATGTGATGAGGGTAAATAAGTGAGGTTCTTCGCCGGCTAGTATGACTCCAGAGAACCAAGAAAACTGCCCCAGCACAAGGATCGCAGCCACAATCATCATCAAGACCCTCTCCAAGGATGAAGTCGATCTAAACAAAGTTGGACACACACGAATCCACACATAGCGAGCAATGAAAAAGAGTACTGATTGGACCATTAAATATAACTGCACAATTAATAGCCTATATTTAAGCTTCTCGTTGAATGAAGAGAAGTATGTTCCAATAAAGGAGACGAGGTTCAAGCTAACTACGATCCCAACTACAACCAATGCCTTGTCCATGGACGCCGCCATCTTGGCTGTTCACACTTAAACGTGAAGGAATGAGTACTAGCGATGGGGCTCCTGTGTAAAGCGAAAGTAACTCGAGTGGTCCAGTCACGGTAAATTTATCTTTTTCTTCGTAATCTTCTTAACAGCACGTTTTAAGTTTAAAGAATTGARTATCTACATGTAGACTAGAATCTATAATCTCCTCACGGACCTTCCCATAACGCCATGCGCTCCTATATCCCTTGCCCGAGGGGGGGGTGACACCGGGGTAAAAGTATCGCATCATGCATCAGTGCTCGTCGCATCTCGTAGAGAGGTAAAAATCAGAGATTTTTGTTTTCTTTTAGGGTGTTAAAATTAAATTTAGAATTTCGTTATTTCTTGGAATCTTTTAGCTATGTATTAGGAGGGAAAAATCGTCAAACCACGCCCTTTTTTTAAAGGAATCCCGGTATTTTTAAAGTTTTCCCACGAGCATACCCGATATTTTTACCCGGGAGTCCCCCTCCCCCCGGGATCCCTTGCTAGCCTACTTGGCGTAACCCAATTAAAATACTTAGTATTTATGTAATATGAGAACTTTATTGGATATCATAAAGAAGAAAATAGTTTAGGACAAAAATAAAAACACTAAGGAAAATGATTACAAGATTATAAAATATATTGAATGTATTAACATGTCATTCTCGAAAAAGGTTGAATACTGAATACTACATATATACTGAATAGTGCATTCCAAGATCGAAGTACATTGTGGGTCATAGTGACATTGTCTAAAGTAGGATTGAAAATAATTATTTTTTCTATTTTTAGTGTATTCCATCTGAAACCCAATATACTAACTACATGTAGAGAGTTAATTGCTGTATATTTACTTTTTATTTCAAATTAACGAGACTCACAATGCCCTTTGGTCTCGGAGTGCTCTACTCAATATGCAGTATTCAGTATTCAATCTTTTTTGAAATAGCTGTATACTTATAGAAATGATCGTGGTATGCAGCAAGACACCCCTATATTTATGTGCAAAACAAAATTAGAGTCGTAGGTAAGGTAAGTACAGTATTTCCTATTGGTGGATCGAAGGGACAGGGGAGAGGGCTTAGCCCGGGGAACCCCGCCCTTTTCCAAGGATAACCAAACAACTTCAACTAGTACAAGGTATAGGGCTAGGGTTGCCTCTAAAGTTGCATTCCTGCCTGTGTCCATGCATATTGAAGTCTTTTTTAGCCGGCAACCATCTCACCGGTTTGAGCTTATATATTACAGCATACTCCCCTTCTTACTTGTAATATACGTTATTATCTTTAAAAGATCTGATTATTACTTACATGAAATTGTTATATACTATTCTAGACGAATTTTTTATTGTGCCTTTGACACTTTGGGTAACATTGATGAAACTGAATATAGTGTATCCGCGGGCAAGCCCAGTAATATCCAGGAAAAACCGCTCTGGGCTTAATTATGTGTGATCAAAACATGTTGAGCTCTTCACTTCATTCATGCGGAATGTGCTACCAGTCACACAACCCTTGATTCCCACAGCAATTAAGTGAAAAAGTCAGAGAACRTAGTTAATTAACCATTAACTATGGCCGGAGAAAAAAAAAACACCTTATTTTTGACTTCAGTCTGGCTTACAAAAATAACACGCGCGCAACTAGCAAATCAATATCAAAAACGGTTTGCGGAGATCCGCTCCGTCTAGGCCTACTTCCATGTGTACCTCCTTATTATTGAGAAGGTGACACATTAGTAAACATTAGAAGGGTATTCATTGCTGAGTGTTGGCAGCATACAATCTTGTTGATCGTGTATCCCTATTGATTCTTGTTCATTGTTGTTAGTCGAAAGGCACGCAGTCTGTAAAAAGAAAGAAAAGCAAAGAATATRAGTTGATAAAAAACTGTCAAGGAGAATTTTTCTTCATCTCAATAAATGGTAAGTACACATTATAATATTTATATGTAGGCTTTAGCCAGTTTGAATTTTATAGAGAGTTTTCACTTCATAAGACAGTCATATTGGTATACCAAACAATATGCACGGCTTTTGCATAAAAATAGAGCTCAATTTCCGGAGGATAGAAAATGTTATGGTTTTTGTACACCAACATGGCCGCTGTGATGTCACGTGAAAAAGCTTTGTAATAGTTTATAAGTGATGAYTTTATAACGTAATTTGAGTTTAATTCTAATATAATTTTTCCTACTATCGATGTGGCCTACTCTAGTTATACAATAGTTTCTGGCGTCATAAAAGTATGACTGATGACACAGAGAATCGTAATGACTTTATCTTGCTGACATAAACCGGCACTCGATAACATGCGCCTTTCCATAGTTCGTTTGTTTATATAATATTACATCCTTTCTTTCTTGCTTCCTTCTTTCCTCCTTTCCTTGTTTCCTTGTTTCCTTGCTTGCTTGCTTGCTTGCTTGCTTGCTTGCTTGCTTGCTTGCTTGCTTGCTTGCTTGCT